AACATAAATCAAAAAGAACTTAGGAAGCGACCAGAAATCTTTCAGAACTCCAGTCTTTCAATGATACAGTTGCTAGTGACACCATCTTGAATTTGAATTTGTTTTAACTTGGTTTGAATGCTATTGATCTTATGATATTTGATATTTTTATGTTGTTTCTAAGGCTTAATGTCATGTTGTAATTCGCCCACTGCTCGGCGCAAGTCAAGATGGGGCAATTAATTATCATTATCGTTATCATTTTCTTGGATAAAGATCCAGAACTCCTTCAGCCTCTTCTGGGTTTCTTTTGCCATTTCTTAAATTATCATAGTAGTTCTTCTGTACAGTTCTTGCAGTCTGAATCCCTTAAACACGGCTGATCAAACTTGGCTCAGCATTCCAAATGAAGGCTGGATACCTTGTCCGGCAGCATTGATGTTTCCGTCATCCCAGAAATGCCTTAGCGAATACAACGGAGAAAGAAATGCTAGAGATCACAAACCATTTGATAAGGGAGCAGCGTTCTCTCCTCATCCTCTCAGGGAGCAGCCCAGAGAAAGGTTTCTTCACAGTTTCCACTAAAACCCTTCATGCTGCCAGAGCAGCACATTCCATTTCAGACTTTAAGAACTGATTGGCCTCCTTCACAGGGTGAATGGTAAAATTTATCTTTTCTGCCGCCCCTGATCAAATGGCATCTGATGAGTTAGGTTTGGCTTGTTTCTCATGAATACTGGTGCTACATTACATTCCAGAGCCCTTTTAATTTTCCACGTCTTTTGGCACGGTCTTCATATGCCATGTCCGTCAATATCTGAACAAAAAGATCTGAGTTTTCCATCAGCTTCAGATCCAATAACTTCCCTTTTCTTGGCTGGTTGTTCTTTTTGTTATGACCCAATTCAGAAGACAACTGGCCACTAGAAAAGTGGGCAAAGTACTCATTTAAATATTTGTAGTATATTCAACTCTCTTATGAATTGATGGAAATTAGATATAGCAGATACGTATAGAACAAAATAGCAAAAAAGAGTATTTAAAGTTTCATAGTAAATATTTTAATAAAAGGTATATAGAATATAGCAACGTGATAGGATCACTTCCGGAAGCGACGTCACCACATTGCTGGCAATGCGGGCCGAAGCCTAGTTTTCCTTCTAGTCAGCAGTCACCACCCCGCACGGTTGCTGGGAGTGCCTGACAAACCTAAGATGATGTCATTAGAACTCTGCCCTGTCCTTTGCCTCATAGTATCATGGGCCTGCTGGCTCCCTGCCTTCTTTTTGCCTGTTTCAGGCCTTCCACCTCAGCCTCTGTAAGGCGGTTGTGTCCAGTTGTTGCTCAGTGCCAGCTGTTCCCTGTTGACATCTTTGTGGGCCTTTGTGAAGCTCACTGGCGTCACCCATTCCTGTTTCAGGGTAGCGGCTTATCTTGCCATGCTGGCTGGGGAGGGAGAGGCTGGCTACATGGAGAGGTTCAAGCACATTATGTGCATCATACTGGAGTGGAACAAGCCATTCTAGGGCCAGATCTTTGATCTGTAAAACGGAGCTCTTCTGCCAGGCTTTCGAGTAGGAGCCGCCGCCGCCGCCACCATCATTACGCCATTATCATTATGTCATCATCGTTACCAGCATTCTATCTACGCTCCCCTCATTAGTCCCACAAATTGACCATCTTCAGAGTGGGGACTATTGGGGCTGCGAGACATGCCTGGCAGAGATCAACGCTATTTGGACGTATATTGTTGCGGCTATATTTATTGTTATTACTGTTGTTTGTTGCTAATAATTTTAGAATCCCATCTTGAACTTTTATAGTTAATTAATTTTGGAGCACCGTAAAGTAAATTTTAGTGAATTGTATTTATTTATTGTATTTTATACTATTCTGTACTGTTTTAATGTTTTAACTTGGGCATCCGTGCCCCTTGTTAGCCGCCCTGAGCCTTCGGGAAAGGCAGGGTATAAATTCAAAGATAAATAAATAAATAAATAAATAATCTTCAGCCCACCTCTGCTTTTCACACATTCTTGCAAGTATTCTCTGTTTCTAAACATGGCTTAGGAAATTTCAAGCTAAATTTGCTGAATTCAGAGGAAAGGTCAGGGACAGTTGCAAGTTTGCTATTTTTCTTTTGCTGAAGCTCACATTCATGCAAACAGGCACCCTTCCTAATTCTAGCATAAACCAGATGGTGAAAGACAGAAAATGTATAATGAACTCTAAGCAAGTCACATAACAATCATGGAATTGCTTATGTAAAGGAGACAGGGTTAGTATATAAAAATATCTTATGAAAAAGCATTTTTAAATTTGGTTCAGCTACAGATAACAAGCAATAAAATCCGCTGCATAGATTCAAACAGTGCACTGGATTGTAGGGGTGGTGAATACCTGGAGCCAAAACAACTTCCAATTTTGTCTCTCTACATGAGAACTCCAGGGTATCCCATGAAGCTGATGGGTGGTAGATTAAGGACAGACTTCATTACGCAATGAGTGATTAAAATGTGGAATTTTTTGCCAATGGTTGTAGTAATGACCACAGGCATGGGTATCCCATGAAGCTGATGGGTGGTAGATTAAGGACAGACTTCATTACGCAATGAGTGATTAAAATGTGGAATTTTTTGCCAATGGTTTTAGTGATGACCACAGGCATGGACAGTTATAAAAGGGATTAGACACATTCATGGAGGACAGGTCTATCAGTGGCTACTAGCCATGGTGACTACAAGGAAACCTTCACATTCAGAGGCCGTAAAATTCTGAATACCAGTGCCAGGAGGCAACATGAGGGGAAGGCCTTGGCCTCTCTGCCCTCTTGTTGGCCCTCCAGAATAAGTGATTGGCCACTGCATGAGACTGGATGCTGGACTAGATGGACCACCAGACAGTCTGGTGTAGTGGTTAAGTGCGCGGACTCTAATCTGGGAGAACCGGGTTTGATTCCCCACTCCGCCACTTGCACCTGGCTGGATGACCTTCGGCAAGCCGTAGTTCTGATAAGAGCTGTTCTTGAAAAAGAGCAGTTTCTGTCAAGAGCTTTCTCAGCCCCACCTAACTCCCAGGGTGTTAAGTCGGCTACTTAACAAAGAGTCAGAGAGTGCTTTCAGCAAAAGGATAGCTTTATTCAGCAACTCGTAACTCAACTCCAAACAGATCAACATGAATAGCCAGAACAGCTTTTACATTGCAGCTGTTCTGCTTTTAAACTCTCCCGGCTAATGTAGCCACGCCTACTATACAAATACCAACCAATTAGGTTGTCTACATAAAGACCAATCACGGACGTTCCCGCTCAGGGAGCTTGCTAGTATTTGATTGGCTGGTTCTTCCTGGGCTACCAATATGTTTGGAGGGATTTGGATCCTAGCCCAGGACGAAGCTTCACATGGTGTTTCAAAAGCGCTCTCTCAGCCCCACCTACCTCCCAGGGTGTCTGTTGTGGGGAGGGGAAGGGAAAGGAGTTTGTAAGCCGCTCTCAGACACTTTTGGGTAGTGAAGGGCGGGGTATAAATCCAACCTCTTCTTCTTCTTCTTCAGCCTGAGTCAGCAGGGTTCTTCTTATGTTCTCTCACAGGGGGATTTTATGAAGGTTTTTATAAATGATAATTGACGTACTGATAGACTGTCAAACTGGTATTTCACTATGTCAATTACATGTACAATTTTTTTTTTGAAAAAGCTCTCTAGTGGCATGGGGGCTTGGTCACCGCTGGGCCTGGCTGGGGCAGGGAAAATGTGGGGAAACCTGCCATCTGGAAGCATCGGCTGCCACAGGGACAGTGGGGGGATGCATTGCCATTTGGAAGACCTCTCAATCCGCCTTTTAATTTTCCCTCCCCCACTACTGGTGCTGGTATGTAGATCCTTTAGCAGTACAAAGACAGTCTTTTTTTCTGGGAAAAACAAAAACATTGTTAATCTGTTAGCAAAGTAGCCCCGGGGCTGGTGTCCCCCTGTCGTCCCCCCCCCTGGCCAAGCCACCAGCTTGGAGAGGCACACCAAAGAGGCAGGGGCTTAGCTCAGGGGGCCAAGGCACTGCAGGGGTTCAGCTTATTCTGGGCAATCAGTGCTGTTCAGGTCCAAGCTAAGACCCAGCAGCAGCGTCGCAGGGCCCGGCTGGCAGCAGCATAGGTTCCGGAGGGGGTGGGCATTCCTAGCTCGGGATGACAAAATACCTTGAACTAGCCCAGTTAGGTCCCCATGCCAATTACAACAGCAACAAAATTGGACTACCAACGGAGAAGGGAGAGGCCTCTATGTACTGTGGAGGACTCCAGTGGTATGCAAAAAAATGGAAAAAATGACTGTGAATTAAGCAAAAGGGGGGAAATACTAACACCTGATGGGGACTGCCTATGAAGGAAAAGGCGGGGAAGGAGCACCAGTCTGCTCAACCCCTGAGAGCTCATGGAATGGTTAGGTGGGAAATTTGGGGCATGTGTGATCTCCAGTTCCCCACCCCCACGAGTCATTGCGGGGCCCCAGCCTGTTCCCGTTCCTTGTTCGCCTTCAGCCCTGCCGCGTGTGCCGTTTCGAAAAAGAAAGCGAACCAAACCGGCCTCCTGCAAAGTGAGAACAAAATAGATGGTATCAGCCTTCAAAAATGACAGAACTGAACAGGACACATTTTGGCCGGGGCAGTTTCTTAATGAGACAAGAGGAGATTTGCTCCAGGGTCAGAACAATTCACGGTAATCGCCGAGAAAAGCGGATCGCTCGGTTGTGCATCACAAAAGGAAGCGGAGGTTGTCTTTGGATAGCCAGAGGTTAGGAAAGATTTTTTCAAAGTGGTCCAAAATAATTACAGTCTCAAAACATGAAAAATGTAGGGAAGGGATGAAGGATGTTTGCATCTGCTGCTGAAACCTGATTTATGATACCGAAGTAATGCTGTTCCTTATTCGTGGAAAGGGAACAGCTGGGGCTGCCCCAAACACGTGAAAACGGGGCCCTTTTCACTTGAGGCAGCAAAATAACGTCCTTTTCTCCCGTTCTCCAAACCACAGCTCAAGTCGGGAGAGACTGCTGCCAACGTTGCGAGGGAACTGGCCGAGCAAACGAAAAGCCACCTGAATGCAGGCGACATCACCTACTCGGTCCGGGCGATGGACCAGTTAGTGGGCCTACTGGATGTGCAGCTCCGGAACCTGACTCCTGGTGGGAAGGACAGCGCTGCACGAAGCTTAAACAAGGTAAGGAAAGAACCACCATGGAAAGCAGGAGCGATTCGGTTAGGTTGGCTCCGTCTCCTGCTTCTACATGGGGTGCTGTTGCGATCAGAGTGATGACATAAGATCTAGGAAGCCCGAGTTCAGATCCCCTGCTGGGCTATTGAACCTCACTGGGCGACCTTGGACCAGTCACAGGCTCTCAGCCTCACCTCCCTTGCAGGGTCGTTGTGAGGAAGAAACAGGGAGGGGAGACCTGGGCTGCCTTGAGCCGCACCTGTGCTGCCTTCCACTCCTAGGAAGAGAAGCCAGATAAAAGCGTGCTCCGTAGATAGATGGATCTCTGCTGTTGCAGCACATTGGAGCTTCTTCAGTCTGTGCCCATTCCAAGAATGCAGCCAGCTTCGGGGAACAAGGGCATGTGGGTCTCCTCCAAGAGAAGTTATCAGGTCCTGGCTCCTCCGGGGCAGTCGCTGTAGGAGTAGGGGTCTCCAGTGCATGATTCTGTAGCCAGTAGCAACAGAATGGCAGGCCTCAGACATAGCTGGAGGGGTGGGGTTCGTCTCACCCTTGCCCCTCTCCCCAGCTCACACGCTCTTGGAGATTCTCTCTAGGCGTCCTGTTTTCCCTTTGAGAGATGTGCGCTCTTCCTCCCCAGACTGTCCGAGCCTCCTGGCTTAAATCAGCCTCCCAATCTGCCCCCTTCCCCTCTCCCACCAATCCCCATTTTCCTTCAGAGAAGCAGATGAGAGGGTTTACAGCTGTACACCTTGAGCATGGCTCCCATTGGACCATCCTTGGCTCCCTTCTCTCAACATCAGGTGGGGCAGCGGCTTTACCCAGCCCTGCCTCCTTTGCGGGCTTGGCGCCAGCCTCGTCCCCTGCCGGGTCTTTGTGCCGGCTCTCCGGGATGCCTTGCAGCCTGAGCAGGGGCAGGGCCCGTCTTCTCTTCCTGTCGGGGCTGCCGGGTCACCCGCGGCTCTAACAGTCCCTTGTTGGCCACGCCTCCCGGGGCAACGGGAGCCACAGCCCAAGAGCCAGTGAAGTCTGGGGCAAACGGACCCTGGACAGAAGTCTTTAGCATTCAGTCTTGTGGATGGTCAGAGTTGAAGCACAGTGAGAGATGAAGAGATGTCCTCCAAGATGATGGTGGTTCTGGCCGGGAGTCATTTCGTAGAAAAAAAAAGGTGCAGGAGCTCATTAACATAACTCGTTAGCATAACTTATTTGCATACACCACACCCCCTAACATCACCGGAGGTGTGTCAGAAGGCAACACCCACCGCTCAGGCTTCACTGGACTGTTTTGGATTGCTAGCTATGGGGAGGGGGAATGTGCAGATCTCTTGTTGCATGTGCCCGCCCCCTGGACTCTTTACTGCCGGAGCTCCGCTCCTGTGCGCTCCTGCAGGAAATGACCCCTTGGTTCTGGCCTGGTGGTTCTCCCACAAGACTCCACAGCTTAGAGGGAACACTGGTTGAGGTGGGAAGAGAAGGGGAAAAATGGCAAGGGTGATTTGTGCCCCATGGTCCGTTTCCAAAATTCACCTCCATCGTTGGTTTGGGAAGACCTGCCTTGCTTGCTTTCTCCCTTCTTCAGAAATATGGGGGAGAGGGTGCTTCTGGGACATGGGAGGGAATCAGGACCAACTGGAACTTCATCGCTGAAGCCCAGCTGAGCGGCTTCGCTCAAGACTGTGCTCCCGGAAGTACGGGTAGCTCTTTCCCCTCAGCCCTCGAAAGGGCTCAGTGAAGTAGCTTGGAAAGATATAATAACCTTTCTTGTTGCGCATTTGTTGCTGTTATGTCTGTTTTGTGGACGGGGCTGCAAGGGCGTCAAAGTTGGTAGTGTGATTGTGTACTTATTAAACTGATGCCACTCCAGTCTAGTTTTCGCTGAGTTTTATACCTTTTTCTGTGCTAGCCCCACAATTAAAGAGCAACCTCCTCAGGGAGGTGTGTCTGGCCCCATCGTTGTGGGTCTTCAGGTGGCAATTGAAGACAGTTTTTATTAGTTGTTGTAGATTTTCCGGGCTGTAGGGTCGTGGTCTTGGCGTTGTGGTACCTGATGTTTCGCCAGCAGCTGTGACTGGCATCCTCAGAGGCAGGGCTATTTTTGGGCAGGAACACACAGGAACAGAGTTCCGGCTGGCTTCAGAGTTGGCCACGCCCACTACAGCCAAAACCTCTGCACATGTGTGGCTACAGAGGGAAGGCCTGGAGAGCGACACCCCCATGACGACTCTGAGGTCGGCAGGCCTGGGGGGCCCTGGAAGGATCGGGGAGGCATTTAAATGCCTCCCCGTGCGTCCCCTGGCCTGTCCAAGGGACGGCTTGCCTGGGCTCCCTGCCCCAGCAAGCCAAGGGAAGGCACGAGATGTGGCCTAATATGCTAATGAGTTGTGCTGTCAGGGGGTGGCCTAATATGCTAATGAGTTCCTGCTGTTGGGTGTGGCCTATTATGCTAATGAGTTCCTGCTGGGTTCTTTCTACAAAAAAAGCCCTGCTCAGAGGTATAACACAGAAAGATAGAGCGCTCTTTGTGTCAGTTTTATTTAGGACAGCATTTTTGGTTGATTTATCTTTTATTATCGGCAGTCCTAATTGGAGTTTTTAATCTGTGACAGGTTTTATAATTGTTGTTTTTATTGTGTTTTTAATAGGTTTATGTCCTTATTAAGATTTTTATAAGTGTATGTTTTATATTGTAAGCTGCCTTGTCTTCCACAAAGGGACGGTTGACTAGCAAGCATTTTAAATTAATAAATGGGGTGGGGGAATTCTGGGCTTTGTTGCTTCACACTGCAGGCGTAATGTTTTTGTGATTTTTTTTTTTAAAAAACCATCCTTTTACATAGAAGACAAGGGAGAAAGCTAGGCCGAAGCCTTTCTCCCTCACATCCAGTTTTCTGTGTGGATTTTTGTCCATGGAGGAACCTTCTCTCATGTGAGCCCCACCTGCAGTTTGAAGTGGTACAGTCCAGGCACAGGTTTACCCATTCAGGTCTACAAAGATCAGACTGGCGGTATGCAAAATCTTAAACGAAGGATTGTATCCTACCACGGATAGGTGTGAAACTTTCATCCAGAAAAGAACATCTTCTACTTGGGGGTGGGGGGGAGGCTTCCTGGAACTGAGGAAGGCTTCACACCTACCTGAGGCAGGGGGAGGATAAAGGTAAAGGTTCCCTTGCTCGAAAGCCAGTCGAATCCGACTCTAGGGTTGCGGTGCTCATCTTTGTTTCAAAGCCGAAGAGCCAGCGCTGTCTGAAGACGTTTCCGTGGTCATGTGGCCGGCATGACTAAACACCGAGGCGCACGGAACGCTGTTCCCTTCCCACCAAAGTGGTACCTATTTATCTACTTGCAATTTCTTGCTTTCGAAATGCTAGGTTGGCAGGAGCTGGGGGAGGATAGCCAGCCACTAAGCACCAATGAATTCTTCAACATGGTTCATAGCAAGGGTAAAAAAAACAAAACCCTTTTTATGGTATCTACCTGTGAAGAGTTTTTTGGGGGCGGACCCTGAGACAGTTTGAGGAGGGGAGGGGCTTCTATGGGGTATAATGTCATACAGTGGAATTTCCAAAGCAGCCCTTTTCTGCCGGAGAACTGATCTCTGTTGCCTGGAGATCAGTTGTAATCCCATGAGATCTCCACCCACCCCCTGGAGGTTGGCAACTCTAAGCATATATGGAGTGAGATGAGCAAACTGCCCTCTATGTGAGTCAGAACTGGCTCAATCACTGCAAGCAGGGTTGAAAAATGCTAAAGGATTTTTTAAAAAAACCTTATGGTGCATAGCTTCTCACTCTCCCCCCCCCCCCCCCCCCAGTTCTGTAATATCTTTGGGCTTTCCCATTGATCTGTGGAACCCTTTGGTTACATTAATGCATTGGAATTGATTCTTTAGCTCTGTTGGAGATATCTCTGCATCCAAGACTTGGGGGGAAATGTTTAAGCGTTAAGTCCGACCGGGGCACGATCTATGCTAGTTCGTTGTCCGAACCAAGTTACAAATTTCGACACTGATTCTAGTCTTTCCCTCTGCCTGCTGTGGTGGTTTTATGCTTGCTGGGAGTTTGTAATATGGAGTTTTGGGGTTTTTTTAAAATGTGATTTTCTACTTGCAGTCCTCAGTGGAGCGGTCCGCTTCACAACCTCATCATTCTCCCGCCGCATTATGCTATCAACCACACCTCAGGCTTCTTTAACCAGCCCTAATTGAAACTGTTGTGTGCCAAGTCCCGGCATAACCATGAAGTTTTGTAGCTGTGTTCCAACGGTACCGAATACTTGATCTCATTAAAGGGCACTGTGAAACACCAGCTCTGATGTTAATCCCCAGTCGAAGGTCTTCCACCAAAGGCCACTAGAAAGGTCTTCTTCTGAAAGCCAGGCTAAAAAAAGATCAGGAGTATTTCTATCATCTAGGTGTGCCTGGGGTTGCTAAGCAACTCTATGCTCAATTACGTTGCTCGGAAACCGAGATCAGATACTGGACGATAATTTACTGGGTCATCAGCACTCAAAGATCCCCTTAGGGAGTGGATGGATAACAGCCTTTTAAAAGGGATGGAGGCTTCTTCCCCATCATCATCTGCTATTTTATAGATCACCCAAATTATACTTAATAATAATTGAGAATGGAGTTATATCTGGAAAGCAATCTACCCTTACAAGTTTTTATTAGCCAGGAAAGGCAACCGTTCAATAAGCATGTGGTTAACAGCATCTTCCCCGAGCACACCGTCTCTATGTCTGAGGAGGGAACAGAGTGAAAACAATCCCAAGACAGAGCAACATGATGATACAATCAACGCCTCTAGCACAGATATTGTTCACAGCTAGAACGTCTGCGTCAAACTCGGGGCAAGCAATTTTATTTTCACAAGGGTTTGCAAACATGTCTTGACCTGAGCCGCACACGATAAACTCTGTACAAATGTTAACGTCTCCCAGAATGACCATTGTGGAAGGCATGCGCGCCCGGTCTAAGATAAGTTGTGTCGGCTCAGTCAGGT